TCATAATCTCAAGACCCTACAAATTATGGATGGACTTGGCAGGCTTAACGAGCCGTTGGGTTCATGTCCAGGACCCCTATTAGATTACTATTAATTTTAAATTTTAATAATGCATATAAAATATATCAAAATCTTGAGCAAATCTCTTACCTCCTCTCTCTCTCTCTCTCTCTCTCTCTCTCTCAGCAGAACCAGCGGTGGGCTAACATGTGGTCTTCATGGCGAGCTGGTTCACACCCACTGTTCTCTTCTGCGCCTTGAACCTCATTATCGACACTATCTTCGTCACCTCAAACCTCATAACTCACAACAAACCACCAGCTGAGATTGATCAACACAACCCATAGCCACCCCAGCTGGTCTGAACTCCATCTTTCTTGGAACAAGTTAGGTCCTTCAATTTCTCTCTCTACGGATCCGAAAATGCCGACCCATTGTAGCCCCAGACCCACCACGCCGACCCACCTGAGGTTGATCAACACAACCCACCCCAACTGGTTCGACTCCATCTTTGTTGGAACGTGTCAGGTCCTCCAACTTCTCTCTCTACAGATCCGAACATCCCGACCCATTACAGCCCCAGATCCACCACGTTGACCCACCTGAGGTTGATCAACACAACTCATCCCCACGCCAACTGGTTCAAGCTCCATCTTTTTTGGAATGAGTCAAGTCCTTCACATAGTTCTAAATCACGGTATTAGGTAATGTAACGATATCAATTGCGGAGTATCGGTATCGGTAGTATCGACCGGTACGTATCGGGTATTGGGCGTTGTGGTCGTGAAATTTCAAAAATCATTAGCAATCCCTCTAAAACTCAATTTTATCCATTTTTTCACTCTTTTAGCCTTAATTTATCACATTTTAATCAAAATTTTGATATATAGAGACACTTTTGACTCATTTTCAACTAAGTGATATGTATTTATTTAGTCTCAAGCTTTTATTTGGCATATATGTTAAACTTTTAATATAAAAATTGATGTGGAAATATTTTTTTACTTATTTTCAACAATGAAATACTTCCACATGCACAACAAATTAATAAGAGAAAGAGGGACATAAAAATAAATCATTTGCTTTAGTCATAATCACATACAAACAATCTCCTACAAATCAACAACTATAAAACTTAGTAATAAAAAGAATGACGTGGTGGTATAGAAGAATCTCCATATCTCACATCACTTTGATCATCACTATGAATTGGTTAGCCTATTTCTCTATATTGATATTCTTGGTAGTAGTTATTGAAAGTGCATTGATCATAAGTGGTGTTGTTGCTGCCACTGCTACTTGATTGTTGTTGTGTCATTGCAAGCCCCCTTGTACCATAATTGAAACCCTCTATATATGGATATTGATGAGATTGTTGAGAGTAGTTCCAATTTCCCATATAAGGTGGTTGATAGATGTGTAGTGGGGGTTGACTTGGAGGAGGGTAATAAGGATATGGTACTTGGCATATTGGTCGTCAATGTTGAGTTCCCCTTCCATATTCTTGTCTAACTCCGAGATGTCCAAATTGATTTCTAAGGTCACGATGACCATAAATATCATCAATATGTCGTGAATGCCCAATTGATACTTCTGCATCAGGAGCAGAAATAGAATGTCGTCGTTGCTGTGTAGAATCCTTGTTCCAATCATGATCAATATGATGAATACTGCGTCTACAACCAAGTGCAGAACCTGCAGATTCCCATTGTCCACCACTACCACCACCTGTTGGAGGACGATTGCTATCACTATCACCTCCACTACCACTAGGTGGACTCAAATCGCGACCCTTACTAGAGCCACTTCCAGCAGACCCTACTCTTTGATGGTGTTGAGGTACTTGGCTACTAGTGGCATGATCTCCCTCATCATCATCATCAACAATCAACCAACCTGAGTTATCTTCATCATCCAAGACTGCATGTTCTCTCTCTTGAAGCCATGGAGTTAATAGATCATCTTCTTCAAATATATAGTCAAGATTGATGGAGTTAAAAGATTCCTCTCTATCATCTTGGCTTTTTCGTGTTGCATGTCTGATCTTTAGCCTCATATTGTAATACACATAAACAAATTTATTTAATTTTTTATACTTTAACCGATTCCTTGTCTTTGTATGTATCAGGCTAAACGTACCCCAATTGCGCTCACAATTAGAAGAAGACGTGGTTTGGCTCAATACTCTCACAGCCACTTTTTGGAGTACCGGAGCTGATGTACCATAATGGATCCACCATTCAGCTATATACAAATCAATCAATTATTAGTGATTATGTTATAATTTGATATAGAAGTGTTGACAATGTAACAATAATATGTAATTAAAATAGTTAATAGTTGATTGAGTATACAATAATTACTAGAATTTGTTGCTTTCACTGCTCTTTGTGCTAACACAGCACCAAAAGAATCTTCTTTATTACAAAATAAAGAGATCTGCAATGAACAAAAGGCAATAAGCAGTTTTACAAACACAATTCACAAGTCAAATAATAAGTTATCAATTTAACTAATATTAAATAATGAGTAACTTGGTTTATCGCCTGTATTTACTCGTTTAAATCTGGTAGAAGTCTCAAAATCACATTTCTAACTCCACTCATCACTTCTCGATGATTAGAAAGGTGCTCCCCATATTGGAATATGAGATTTAAAAAATAACCTACATTCAAATATAAAATAATAATAAAAGTGAGACAAGCAACACATAATTTATAATTTAAATAAATTAAAAATTACTTACCAGCAGTATGCAAGTCCGTGTGTAGTTGGAAAGCCCATCGATTATCAATAATCTTTCAATAATTTACATAATAGCGACAATTTTGTTTGATGGCCAACTTTACTCTATCCATGGCTTCATATATAAAACCCATTGTGGGCTTTTCATCTCCATCTACAAGTCTAAGCACCTTTAGATGTGGTTCTTGAACTTTTAATACATCTACCGCCTTGGTCCAAAAATATTTACTTTGTATAATTTTTTCGCTTCTTTTGCATCATTCTTTTTGGACCATTTGCTATGCTTCCACTCTTGAGAATGAAACATATCCTGTAAAGGAGTCTTATGTTTAACAATGCTTTCCAAAGTAATGAAATTGGTGGCAAAACGTGTGATGACAGAACATAACAACTCTCTATTTCTTGTGAATCTCTTCATGAAATCAACGACCCAATTGGAGTTGTAAATAAAGCGTGTGATTACTTTTGCACAATCTAACACCTCTGCTACACTTTTTTTCTTCCCAATATCCTCTAACGTAAGATCAATACAATGAGCTGCATATCCTGTCCAATACAGATTCTCCCTTTTTTTGCATGAGTTTGTAACCAGCTGCCTTTATCGCAGCTTCGCTATCAGTTACGATTTGTACAACATATTCTTCTCCAATTTCATCCACTACCTTGTCCATGAGGCCCAAGTAATAATCAGCTGTCCTACTAGGTACATCAGTTATATCCACAGACTTCTGAAAAATTGTTCCACGATTGCTATACACAAGAAAATTAACAATGTGCTTTCTTGTAGGCCCAGACCATCCATCACACATAATTGTAACACCTCTCTTAGCCCAACTAGATTGATGAGATTTTATCCAATTTTGTAAAGCTTCATACTCCATTGGTAAATACACTTCAATTACCTGTTTAATAATAAATAACAATAGTTTATTTATTTTTAAACATAGATAGAGTTTTTTCAAACTTTAAGTTAGAGACTTACTTCATAAGAACTAGGTAGCTTTGTTCATTTTCCAACCTCTCTTGCGGTATCCAACATTGGTTCTAGCTATTTAGAATTAACAACATTACACTGGAGTGAACAATACAAACTGGCTAACTGCTCTTCCTAATTTTTTCTTTGCTTCTTTCAATAATCTAGAGGAGAGTTTGGATTGTTTGTTGCCTTTGGTCCTATGAAGATCTGCATCTATGTCTAATAATTGAACTTCTGGAGAGGATGTACCAATCCATTTCCTACCTATACTAGCCTTATGAACACTATGACTTCACCAAGCAAAACCAGGAGGAGGTGCAAACTCAATATCACTAGCCCTAATTTGTCGGGCCATAACCATTTCTAGGTCCTCCTCATTATTTTCATCATCATCACACTGACTGGCTCTAATTTGTTCTGTCAATTCCTCATTCATCTTCCTTTTGTCAAGCTTTTTGCTCTTATAATTATTCAAATGATCCATCATTAGTGTTCGAACTTTACCACTGACATTAGCACAAGGTACGAATTGACCTTTCATATGGGCCAAATGTTGCTTCAACCTAGTTATACCACCATTTAGCTCTTTTCCACAAAATGTACACCTAATTTTATGCCTATTATTTTCCAGTGGAATTCCAAATTTTCAACCAATATCATTACTTGGAGGTTTTCCACTAGAACCACCTCCGTGCGCCATTATAACTTTCAATTATCTACAACAACAGTTTTCAATTAACAAATATTGTAATTCTAATTTAGTTACTAATAATAATGTATTTAAAATAAAAATAAAAAATCTAAAATATTAAATCTCTTTACTTAAAAATTAAACATCTTTAAAAAAATCTGACAGATGAAACCTCTTTTAAAAAAAACTAATATAAAAATAATCTGAAATAAAAAAAAAATTGACAAATTAAAAAATTTGAAATAATAAAAAAAATTGAAAAAAAAAATCTAACAGATTAAACCTCTTTAAATAAAAATAAAAAATCTGAACCACAAACATTTCTATGCCCTCTCTCTCTCTCTCTCAACGATGCAAAATAGTGGCTTAAGAAGCCAATTACGAAGCCGAAATAAATAAATAAATAAATAAATAAATAGAAACAAAACAACAACCACAAAACAGAGCATAACAACAAACCTTATTTGAAGAAGCTTGAAAGCGGTGGCTTTGCCGGTTTTGGGCAAAGTCGGATCTGCATTAATGATCGATTCGATACTTCTCCCTACAACACTTTACAAGATCAATGCCACTGGAAGATGAGTTTGGGTTTGATTGAGGATTTGGGTTTGGTCCGATTGAGGGTTTTTCTTTAGAGGTTTTTACAAATTTATGGTCCGTGAGTCTGTGTATTGCTTGAAGAAGATAAAAAACTTGAAGTGAAAGGTTTGAGTCCGTGAGTCTGTTCCCTTTATTTTCTGCTTTCGCTTTTGTTTTTACAGGTACTTTGGCCGATTATTTTTTCTTTTGCAGGTGCTTTGCTCAATTATTTTTTGCTTTTCCAGGTGCTTTGCTTTGCTCAATTATTTTTGCGGGTGCTTTGCTTCATTTTCAGTCGTACCAGACTATATCGAACTATATTGCTCATGTATCGGATTCAGGCCGATACGTATTGTGAATTGGCCGCTACGGACGCAAAATTCATTCTTACCGGTATACCGGTGAGTATCCGACTCGGCACTCCAATATTCCGGTACGAACCAGCCGGTACGGCACGTACCAGCCGATATACAAATATATAAACAGAAAATGATAGAACACAATTTCAACAAAGAAACTTAAAAGCGGTGATGGGTTTGGGTTCGATTCGATGCTTCTCCTTGCAACACTTTACAAGATCAATGTCCCTGGGAGATGGATTTGCGTTTGATTGAGGATTTGGGTTTGGTCCGATTGAGGGTTTTTCTTTAGAGGTTTTTACAAATTTATGGTCCGTGAGTCTGTGTATTGCTTGAAGAAGATAAAAAACTTGAAGTGAAAGGTTTGAGTCCGTGAGTCTGTTCCTTTCCTTTTCTTTTCTGCATTTGCTTTTGTTTTTGCAGGTGCTTTGCTCGATTATTTTTGTTTTTGCAGGTGCTTTGCTTGATTATTTTTGCTTTTGCAGGAGGTTCTTTGCTCCATTTTCAGCCGTACTGGCGATAGAATACGTGTATCGGAACTGTATCGCTCACGTATCGAATTCAGGTTGATACGTATCGGGAATCAACCGCTACGGATGCAAATTTCATTCTCACCTGTATACCGGCCCATATCCGACTCGGCACACCAATTTTTCGGTATGAACCGGCTGGTACGGTACGTACCGGCCGATATTTAGAACCTTGGTCCGTCAACTTCTCTTTATATAGATCCGAACATGCCGACCCATTACAGCCCCAGACTGACCACGCCGACCTACATCCTCACGAGGAAGCTCACGATCACGATCAGCACTTGAAGAGAAGCATGTCTGACAAGACCGTCGAGGCTTCTCCGGCGAATATGAAAAAGTCGGCGAGCGAGAAGTTGAGGGTTGGAGAGGACGAGGAAGGGGTTGATGCGAAGGCAGATGACTTCATCAACAGGTTTAAGCAACAGTTGAAGTTGCAGAGGCTTGATTCGATTCTGAGGTACAAAGAGATGTTGAGTAGAGGGTCAGGCAAATGAAAGTCTAGGGTTTATTAAGGTGGGTTTTCATGGAGAAGGTAACTGTAGATTCTATAATGATTTTGCATGATATGTTACCAATTATGCCCTCGTGTTTGTGCCTATTTTGGTCATTTAATACATACATTAATTAATAAGAATAAAGTGAGCAGAAAGTGGCTCAAAAAATCATATATATATATATATATATATTTTTTTTTTATAGTGATTTTTTTTTTAATACTTATGTCAAAAGTTTTAACTTTTCGGATTTGTCTTTCCAAGATTATTTAAAAAATGTAAAAATTTTGACACAATTTTCAAAAAAAATTCACTAAAGACAGAAATAAACTAAAACACCAATTGTTTTAGCCACATTTTTGTCTTTTAAAGATTTTTTTAAATTTTTTTTAACTTTTTTGATCCGTCTCGACGAGAAAATACTATAAGCACAAAAAATTACGAAATTTTTAAAAACAAATTCACTAAAGACAAAAAAATTTCAACGAAAAAGTTACTAAAAAATTTAATCCCAAATAGCCTATAAAAGGTCCTAAACTAGTAAATTGTTCTCTTGTTTTGCTTTAATTTTGGTTTATGGGTCATTTAGTCTTTTCACTTCTTGAACAAAGATTATTAACGAGTACTACTAATAACACCCAAAAAATTCCTTTGGACGTCCCATCATTCAATAAATATTTTTATACAATTTTACCCATCTCTAAAGTCCCATTTTTGCCCTTATCCCCTACCTTCCAAAACCAAAACCAAAACCAAAACCCTAACCCTAACTCTAACCCTACCCCTACCTATCTTCAGCAGCTTCGGCCATCACCCCAGCGCCTCATCATCCTCTACACGTACCAGCTCCTTCCGTCGCGTTCTCCACCGCCGCAGTCCCCTACTCCCGCACCCTCTGTCATCACCCAACCCTCCTCGTCGTCCCCCTTCGCACCTCCATGATCTCTCTCCCCCTGTGACCACTCATCTGCGTAATACCCCATGCTCTGACGATGCCATCCCCGCTGCAAATCTCGGCCCACTCTCTCTCTCTTTCCTTGCCGCTAGTACCTCCCTATCGCGATCCTCCCTTCCTCCGCCTCCTCTTCTGTAAAACCCAGATATGAATCTAGGGTTTTACAAAGAAGAAAGAGAAAGAGAATAAGAGGATGAGAAGAATCTAGGGTTTTTATAGAGGATAATGAGAATGAGAATGAGAAGAAGGGGGGTTCATGACAGAAATGAGGTTGGGTTGGGGCTTCGCTTATAAGGGAGAAGGGTTGTAGCAACGAAGGAGAAGGATGTGGCAGGAAGACAACGATGGGGTAGTGGCGAAGGAGGTCACGGTGGTAGGAAAGAAAGAGGAAGAGGAGGAGAGGAGAACAGAAAAAGATGGGATGGACTGGGATGGACTGGGATGGGGTTGTCGGAGGTAGGGAATGGCAGGGAAGAGGTTGCCGGAGATGGAGGTGGTTGTCGGAGAAAAAAGAGGACTGAGATGATCGCTAGAGATAAAGGTGGGGGATACCGGAGGAGGGATTTGCAGGGATGGGCGTCCAAAATAAAGAAAGGTAGTGTGGAGAATATGGTTGGTGCCCAAAGAAGAAAGAGGCGGGAAACATTTTTGGTGTGGGGCGTCAAAGTAATTGGGGGTCCAAAGGAATTTTTGAGGGTGCTATTTGTAGCACTCTTATTAACACACCATCACATTTCTCATGATCCCAACACATACAACAAAAAGGTTAGTTGAACAGAAAGTTTGGACGAGCATGGTCCTTTAGAGTGATTTTTCTAAAGTGATCTTAGAATGATATATTATATGACTGAGATTTAATATTGAAAATCTTAAAATGAATTGTTGTACCAGAATATTAAATTTCAACCACACAACAAATCATTATAGGATCAATTTAGCAAAATTCACAATTAAAAATTAGGGCCAACAATGTAATTTTGAAACTTTTGCGGCAATTACCCCAAACTTTATTCTGTTTTGGCCATAAGGACAACAACAATTTAAAAGATCATATTACTCCTATCTGTTCATGTGTTATCTATCTGTTCATCTAATTTGTCTATCTGTCCACATCACCACCGTCGACAGCCATCGCCAACTGGTGACGGTGGTCTGAATGTTAGAGTGAAACAATACACGGGTAAAAATGAAAAAGAAAAAAAAAAAATTCCTTCGAAACAACAACTTATACTTCTCACCAATATATTTCATTAATCTTATTATTAAAATCAAAACAAAACAGTCACTAAACCTGATGCCATATATACCCACAAAAATGAATTTATCATCATTTTTTTCCGTAGAAATTATGAAGTGTATTTGGAGCATTTTGTAAGATTAGGAGACACACAATAGGAGGAGTATGACAATAAAATTGTTGATTATAAAATATTCATATTTAATTTTTTCTAAGTTACAGATGTCACACAGATGACTCAAATGTTGTGTATACTACATCTTTCAAACTACGTTTTTGACTTTAGTTATTTGAAACATGTCAGATTACAAAATACTTTTTAACAATGAAATTGATAATCAAAAATAATACTTCGACATGTTGTTTGATAAAATTGAGAATCAAATATTGAAAGATTTAATTATTGAACATGTAGATTTTGAAACATATAAAAACTTTTAGTCTTATCAAATAATATGTGGAAATATTATTTTTAATTTCACTTTTATTATTAAAAAAATTATAGTTTGATAATGTTTTAAAAAACAAAAACAAAAGGTCGAAAGTGTCATGTTGATGACCCATTTAATCATCTATAGCATTAATATCCAAAAATTTGAAGAAAAAAAAAATGTAGTGATATTCAAATTTACACTCCCCTTTGAAAGGCTAGAAGACAAAAAAGTGTGAGTCACTTAAAAAGAGATGTGAATATGACTGCTTAAAAAAAGAGGGAAACTACACTGCACCCCCATTGACCAAAAAATATTATAAAAAAGTGGGGGTGCTCTTGTGAAAAAATACACAGAAAATATTTGCACTTCACTAAAATCTCGGTGGATTGCTGTGATTGTTTTTGTCGAGGATTAGTCGGACGGGTCAAAAATTAGAGCCCGGATACCTCGGTCATCCAAAAAAAAAAAAAAAAAAAAAAAGTTATCACTTTTTGGTAACTCTCCCAAAAATAAGCAAAAAATAATATAAAGAGCAGGTTAGTTTGAACCTTTAATTATTATAATTAAAACCATGGTCATGTATATAAATCCTATTTAGACTCCAGTTTAGTTGATTTATGACTCGAGCTAGTGTTTTGGGTTTGCGTGGATGGTTTTTTGTTCTGATTTGGGAAGGAGGGACAGACTCTCAGGTTCTGATTGATTTCACATTTTGTATAATAATGTCATTTATTATTTATAGTTTTAATTTGGTGAGTTTGTGTATTTTAGGTCCCAAAAACTGTAGAGCGGTACAAAATTTGGGTTGGATTTAAATTGGCGGCGTGGTGGGTGTTGTGACAAAAGTCACCTACCACCACTCTCGCTTACACACCTCCTCATACTCTCACCATCCTGTATATTAGATAGAGAGAAGAGAGAGAGAGAGTTTGATGAACTCACATCTCTCTCACGTTTCTATCTATTCCCTTGTTCTCCTTTGACGAATCTTGGGTTTGAAACTCCCTTGTTGAACTTTGGGGAGTATTGAAGCTTGGAGAAGGATTGCTCTCTCCCCTCTCATCAAACTCCGTGTTTTCTCTGTGAAAGCCTAGAATAGAGGTAGGGTTCCTATAAACTAAATGGAGAGATGCCATGCAACGTTTTGTTTCGGAAAAAAGCATGAATACTGAAGTTTTGTTGTTCTTTTAGACATAAATGAGAGTTATTGAATGTAACTATGACATTCGAACCATAAAAATGAACACGATTCATAATAAATGCCCTAGTCGAGGCCCGTTGATGTGAAAATGGTAAAATCATATGTAATAGAGAGCTGATCCAACCACGGGGTGATCTTTAGCCATGTCTAGTCATTAGGTGACCAATCCATCCAGGTGCAGTGGCTCATCACCATGTTTGTTGACCCGTCCAGTCATTAGATGACCAATCCATCCAGGTGCGGTGGCTCATTACTATGTCCGTTGACCCGTCCAGTTATTAGGTGACCAATCCATCCAAGTGTGGGCTGAGGTTGACCAAGCGGTCGACCGACAGGATGACTGATAGGCTGTCCGGTCCATGCATTATGCAATTGCATGCTGCAATTGTTTTGTGTAGTCCTGTCATTACAACAAAAATAGTTTGGTGACAAACTGATTTTGACTTTAAACATTAAATTTTTGTCACCAAAGTGATCTGTGACTAAAAAATTGTCACCACATTCGTCGTCTATTTGTCGTCGCAGAAAGTACCTAGTGATGAAAAATTGTTTCGTCGCCTATGCTTCATTTTTGGAGACGAAAATTTTCGTCTATAAATGTTGAATTTTTCATCTTTTATAACATCCATTTCGACACCATAACTAAATAATATTTTATTTTTAATTGTTTTGGCGACAAAATATTTCGTCACAAAATATTAGGATGGAGATTTTAGTGACGAAATTTATCCTCACTAATGATATAGATTAAGGTGACGAAAAAATTCGTCACTAAAATGAGCACAAAACAAAATTCTTCAATTACAAAAACAATTTTGTCGCCAATATTTCCAGTTAGTGACGAAATATTCAGCAAATGTGATGAAATTATTTGTTGGATCTATATCATTAGTGACAAAATTATTTGTCAAGAAAAGTTGTTTGAAAACTAATAGCGACAATTTTTTATTTTGTCACTAATAATAATTAACATTTTTAAAAATGGGGGTAATATTTCAAATTTTCAAAATTTTTTTCCAGTAACAATTCCCTGCACATGTAACATGTTTAATAAAATATATATTACAGATCAATACAAAAACTTCTTCATTTTCATAAATACCACAGTTGAAATATGTCTCATAATATCCACAAAAATATAATATCAATTGCGAATTACAAAACGCGTCTCCT